AGCTTTGGACAGTGTTGGATAAGCTTTGTGACAGTGTTGTATAAGCTTGTGACAGTGTTGTATAAGCTTTGTGACAGTGTTGTATAAGCTTTGCGACAGTGTTGTATAAGCTTTGTGACAGTGTTGTATAAGCTTTGTGACAGTGTTCTATAAGCTTTGTGACAGTGTTGTATAAGCTTGTGACAGTATTGTATAAGCTTTGTGACAGTGTGGTATAAGCTTCATGTCCAGTGTTTGTATAATCTTTGTGACAGTGTTGTTATAAGCATTTGTGACAGTGTTGTAGTAGCTTTGTGACTGGGTTCTATATAGCTTTGTGACAAGTTGTTCTTAGCTTGTGACAGTGTTCGATATGCTTTGGGACGGCGTGTATATGCTTTGTGACAGTGTTGTATAAGCTTTGTGACAGTGTTCTATAAGCTTTGTGACAGTGTTCTATAAGCTTTGTGACAGTGTTCTATAAGCTTTGTGACAGCGTTGTATAAGCTTTGTGACAGTGTTGTATAAGCTTTGTGACAGTGTTCATAAGGCTTTTGGGACAGTGTTGTTTAGCTTTGTGACAGTTTGTATAAGCTTTGTGACAAGTGTTCTATAAAGCTTTTGTGACAGTGTTCTATAAGCTTGTGACAGTGTTCTATAAGCTTTGTGACAGTGTTCTATAAGCTTTGTGACAGTGTTCTATAAGCTTTGCGACAGTGTTGTATAAGCTTTGTGACAGTGTTGTATAAGCTTTGTGACAGTGTTCTATAAGCTTTGTGACAGTGTTGTATAAGCTTTGTGACAGTGTTGTATAAGCTTTGTGACAGTGTTGTATAAGCTTTGTGACAGTGTTGTATAAGCTTTGTGACCAGTGTGGTATAAGGCTTTTGTGACAGTGTTCTATAAGCTTTGTGACAGTGTTCTATAAGCTTTGTGACAGTGTTGTATAAGCTTTGTGACAGTGTTCTATAAGCTTTGTGACAGTGTTGTATAAGCTTTGTGACAGTGTTCTATTAGCTTTGTGACCAGTGGTGATATAAGCTTGTGACAGTGCAAAGTTCTATTAGCTTTGTGACAGTGTTCTATTAGCTTTGTGACAGTGTTGTATAAGCTTTGTGACAGTGTTCTATAAGCTTTGTGACAGTGTTGTATAAGCTTTACTGGAATAATCCCAGACACGAGACATGTTTGAGTTCTGTATATCACTGCGCTCAATCATTTTACAAAAAAAAAATTAAAATAACGCCTTTGAATGGGAAATAGTTAGGTATAATAAATGGAAGGGGAAGGGAGCTCCGAGTACCTAGATCAAGAGTGAAGTACATCACTAATATCAAAGTACTCCTTCGTTATGGATACACACACACACACACCACACACACACAAATCACACACACACACACACACACACACACACAACACACACGCACACACACCACAAACAGGCACCACACACACCACACACACACACACACACACACACACACACCACACACACACACTCACCACACAACACCACACACACAGGGAAATCGACATGACGACACGGAGGACAGAGAGATTGGGAGGGGGGGGGAGGGGGCATTATAACAACATAAAATTCTGAGAGGAGTTGGAAAAGGTGGACAAAGACAGAATGTTCCGGACTTGGGACACAGTAAACAAGGGGCTCAGTTGGAAGTTGAAGACACTGATGAATCACTGGGGTTGTTAGGAAGTATTTATTCATGACCACAGAGTAGTCAAGAAGAAAAACACACACACCAATGGAATAGTTTGGGGAAGCGATGTAGTGGGAGGCAGGATCCTATACATAGCGTTAAGGAGAGGTATGATTAAGCTCATAGTTCTGGGAGAGTGACCCAGTAGCGACCAGTGATGAGGCCGGGGGCCAGTAGCTTTGACTCGATCCTGCAACACAAATAGGTGAGTACAACTATGTGAGTACACAACGCAGATACAGACACACACACAAGACACAGACACACACAACAGACACACACACAAACACACACACCACACACACACACACACTCAAACACACAAGACCACACACACACACACACACACACACACACACACAACATTCATTTATATATATATATATATATATATATATATTTATATAATATAAATATATATATATATATATACATATATATATATATATATATATATATATACCCATTATATATATATATATATATATATATAATTATATATATATATAAATTTTTTTATATATATACTATGATATATAGATATATATATATATATAAATATTATATATATATATATATATATATATATCTATTCATGTATATATTATTGGTGTACAGGGAACATTTTTTTAGGGTAATTCGGCGTTGCTGGGCAGTTGTTAGTTCCGGCTCTCATATATATTTGTTAAATTTGCCATCCGATACATAATATAATGGTAATATCAATTTTTATGGGGAGGACGTTAATGCGTAAGCCAAGGAAGGCCTCGTTCGGGGTAACCCAAAAAGCTCCCAGCGGCGGGTCATCATTTACTAAGATCCGCGTCAGGAAACATTGTAATGTTGTCAATGATAACGAATCGTACCTCAACCTAACTTGTATCTGTTACGTTGTTACAAAAGTTGAGAATATATTTCTATTTTGAAACATAAAAAAAAATATTGCTCAGAGCATCAATTATTATTATTATTATTATTATTCTGGGGAGCATTATAGCCGTAGGGATTATACAGCGCCTGTGGGGGTTGTGATGGAAGGCATCCAGTCTCAATTCAGGGAACTAGAGCACAGATCCAATTCCCTAGATCAAGAGCCCCTCATTAGCATCAAGGAACCTCCCTTGAGGGGTTAGAACATAGAGACATATTTATATTTGTTATAATATTAATGGTCTTATTTGTTAAATATTTTTTTTGGATTTATAAAAATACTGTTTTGGTGGAATGATTTGAGTTCGTTTGTCAAGTTACTACAATTAATCAAAGGAGTTGTGTTAAGCCCTTGATGTTTGGTTGCCAGAGATAAGGTTATATAATTTGATCTTTTACTTGTGTATTATTCGTGTGTTGTGAATTTCAACACTTTTTTTTTTATTTCTACTTTGTAATCTTATATTTGATTTGTTATATGAAATTTACGACCAAGTGCGTGTCTATATAACTGGCAAAACTTAATATTCACGGATTCACCCAAAGGAGATTCTCCTTATTCAGCGAAGGAGGAAACTGATTATAATCTTATGCCTTTTGTAATGCTAGATTTTTCTATTTGCGCGACAACAAACCTTGCAGCCTAACCTAATTCTAAAATTTAAGCTATGCAAAATAGCGTCTTACTTATACTTGTCGAAAATATTGCGTAATTAACTCATTCCATTTGAATTATGACTGAACTTCTGTTGTTATTCGTATCTTGATTCGTTAGTATAAATTTGTACTTTCTGCAGGTAAATACAGTAGTGCACGTAGGTTATTAAGGCTGCAGTTGATTGGTATACTAACATTTAAAATACTATACGTTTGAAATAGGGGATTTGTTGGTTAATTGGGTCTAACATAGCTAATACTCTAAGTCACTAAGGCTGCATATCGCCTCGTTCACTACACGCTCATACTTGAATCGCTAATATAGGGATTAGAGTAAACTCTCAGCATATATATGAACATACACCTCTTAGTGTATAAAGGTTTGGGATTATAGGGTTAAATTAAACTTTTCGTATATACAATGAAAGTTATACCTGCTCATTGTTCTCTGCGCCGTGAGTATTAATATCTTGTACTACTATTAGTTGGTTAGGTTTTAAAGTCTAGCGTTGTTATTGATAGTTACATTTCCACCTCATGTATCCTGCCTCTGAGCGGTAGTCAGAATAGTACAGAATATTTTAAGTCCTAAAAAATGAATCAAACTCTCTTTGTATAGAATATATACCAAGGGATACAATTTGCCCTTTGTATATCTTATGGGTATTCCGTAACTTTACTTATATAATCTTAAATAAGGATATACGCTCTCACGTATCTGAAATAACTTTAATAATATCACTTTGTACTTATATGAATGTGTTGAATATAAGTTATGATCCTACCTTATTTTTTATTAACCAATACTGGATAAAAATACACAAATAACTTTTAATTGAATTTCATAGACTTGAGACAGACTGACAAATCAATTCAGTTACCACACAACTACGACGCAGAAGTAGGGAACATCTAGTAAAATCGCCAGATTCCTAACTGTTACTACCGCCGGGTTCGCCCAGGCTATTATAGTGTGCATCACCAACTGTTATAGACCCGAATACATGTCAACTTTGTCAGCAGAACTAAGCTCACATCTTGCGTTATTATGTACTCGAGAGCTCAAAAATATAAATAGAGACAACTTTCTCACAAATGTTAACGAACTGCCCAAATAGTTATTTGTGATCCCATGCTGCAAAAAATTATAGACAAAAACTTTAACTTCATTATTGTAAATGGCTCCTTATCACTTGTAATTTGCTTAACCATGAGAGAGCTGTTTATTCACTGGTGCCACTAACATACTGACTGTAGATCACAGATAAACAACCACAGGTTTAAAGAGACACTACCGCACGTGGGTCATTTTTAGCTCCGCCTTACGCAACACAGTTGTAACACCTTGCTCTTACCGTCATGAACATTTACATCCTTGGTTGAGGCGTACTCGGACAAAAACACAAGTACGACAAAGGTTTATTGGAACAAAGTTTTGTGAAACGTGGAAATGATGGTGTGTTCTGCATATTTGCATTTATATACTTTTGTATCCTTGTCTTGTTTCCTTACTAGAGACACTCACAGTCTTACGCTGCTAAAATACTTTGTCTAGATTAACTCTCTAATTATTTACGTCGAGCCTGAATGTCTTCCATTTAAAGGCTCTATATGACACTTTTGGGTTTACTTCTCCCCATGAATATAATAATATATAATTGTCTACATCTACACTCTTGCTTTCCCTCCACACTTAGAGATACCCACTTGCAG